TCAGACCATCAGCTGACGTCAGACGGTGGGCAGAACCACCCAGTGGAAAAAGTCGAGTCGAGCTCCGGATGACCTGTAGGTTCTGTCGTTCATGTTTTTTTTTTAAACTTCTGGCCCGGCACTTATTATTGGAGAACCTTTTTAAATGTTTTATTTTAAATATATTTTAAATATTTGTGGTTCTTTAAAAAGTCATTAAGAGTTTTACAATCAAACGTTTTTTTTTAAGTTTCTACCTGAACGTCCCAAAAAACTTAATATTTCTCTAATTTCCTCAGAGCTGCACTTTTATAATTTTGTACAAATGTAAAACTCGGTGCTGCCCTCGGGTTCAAACAGCCGTTCAGACCCTTGACCCAAGGGCAGCAGGAGGGGGGGATCAACCGGACACCAGAGGATTAGAATCAAACTTCAGGGAAGATTTAAAGTTTAACTTTGAGACTTTCATTGAATTTGTGTCGTATTTGTAGCTGAGCTGATCAGCCGGGGACGAGCCCGTCTGCACTTCTTCTTCTGTGGTTTTTACGTCAGTGTTTGTTGTTTTAACGTGTTTTTGTTGAGATTTCAAACCAAATGTTTGTTTTGTTTGTGAGAAATAAATTTACTGTGTTCTCCAACGTTTCTGTGTGACATGATGGAAAACGTAAAAACAAAATAAAAAACACCAGATTTTAACTTTCAGGGTTTTTAACGGTCGTTTAGCTCGTCGGGGAAACGACCGCCTGAACTGAAGCGTGTGCGGTTTGTAGCTACCGTTAGCATGTTCTGCTAATTTTGGAGCGATATAAACTGCGTGAACCTGCAGAGGTTTGGCCTCCAAACAGAAAGACAAAGTTTTAATCAAACATTTATTTAATTTTATAAAAATCAAAGTTTTGACATTTAGTTGTAAAGAAAAACAGCTGAACTTCCTGGTGAAGCCGGCGCGGTCAGAAGCTGGGCGTGAGGGCGTCGTAGAGCCGCTGGACGGAGACTTCGAGCATCTCTCGTAAAGTCTCGTCTTCTGGACACGTGACTTCCTGCAGGCCACAGATCTGAGGTCAGCGTCGTGCTGGTTCAAATCCCAACAGAAAAGCTAACAAGAGTTAAATAAACAGCCTGAAGAAGGCGCTGCTGAGCCAGCTAGACTCCGCCCACTCATCGTACTCACTCTCTTCTCGGGGTCAACTGTCGCTGTAGCTCCGCCCACCGTCACACACAAGTTTGTGCTGTCTTTGAAATGTACGCAGTCGTCTCCGAACATGTCGCTGCAACACAACACCAAGCACTTACGTTAGGCAGGAGGCTTTTATTTTGAAAACAAAGTGCGTGTGAGCGTGCGCGCTCACTGCAGCATGAGCTCCAGGCGATCCAGGAACACCTCCATGTCGAAGGCCTCCTTCCGGCCCTCCAGAACTGAAACAAACAAACAAAAGTTAGACTCCTCCGAGACCCTGAACGCACCACCGCAGGCCGTCGTGTTGCGTTTACTGACACTTCTGAGCGTTCGGGTTGGACTGGACCTCCAGGACCACGGTGGTGATGGCGTCGGCGTACATGTCGTTGAGCGGGTTGGCGAGCCACTGAGGACACGAGGCGGAAACAAAACTTTCAAACGAGATCAAAGAGCCGAAGAAACGTTGAGAGAATTCAGATCATTTAAAACGTCAGAACTGCACTTTAACCCCGGCTCTGCCCCCAACTGTCAATCAACGAGTCATCTACAGCAGGTAAGATATTTACTGATAAACAACAACGATGACCGTGTGTCTGACCTCCAGCATCACCATGCCGGCTTCATGAACCAGAGTGACGCTGTCAAAGATCCTCACGGTGATTTTCTCTGCCCCCTCCACCTGCTGCACGTCACCTGAACAACAACAAACAACAACATCAACAAACAACATGAACAACAAACAACAACATGAATAACAAGAACATCAACAAACAACATGAACAACAACAACAAGAACATCAACAAACAACATGAACAACAAACAACAACAAGAACATCAACAAACAACATGAACAAACAACAAGAACATCAACAAACAACATGAACAACAAACAAGAACAAGAAC